AAAATTAACACTGTAATTTCTAATTATGTTACCAAGCGGTAGCATATATAGATTGAACAGTAGGGGGCCCAGCACTGATCCCTGCGGGACACCATATCTTACGTTAGTGGATATGGATGACTCATTGTTTACATGGACAAACTGGTATGTGTGTTGTATGTGGCTATGTGTGTTGTATGTGGCTATGTGCACAGTGCTGGATATCCTGTCCCAGGTTTTTTTAAGTTAAGCGGGACATATGAAGTTACTCTGTAATTAAATGAGGTGAATAATGCTGTGACAGAAACAGAAGACATGTGAAGTAAATGTATGTATCCACTAGAGCTGGGCCGTATGACCAAAATTTATATCACGGTATTTTTCAAAGTTATATCGATTTCACTGTATACGACGGCATTTTTTTTTAAAAGTATGACTTAGTGTTTACCACATTTTACAGGATGTTGCAGGACACATTTTTGTTTTACGTTTCTGCATTGTTCCCACATTAACTATTATTTTATTATTAGCCATCTGCTTTAATGATCACATACGGCTAACGTGTTTGTTGTACTTATAGATAAACGGCTAATGTTAAGGTGTGCGCCGGCCAAGGTAACATTTTTAATAAATGTTTATTAGTTCATGTTGCTGGAACGCGAGCTTTACTGACCTTGTGAAATTTCTCTTAAAGACCAGGATGTCTGTCTTTAAGATGCTTCACCAAGTTTGACGTGCTACTTGACTTTGTCCCCACAGCTATGTAGCACTGTTTGCATAGAGGCTTATCGACATCCTTAGCCTTTCCATGCTCATCTGCAAAATACTTCCAAATGGCACTTTTGTGTTTTTATTTATTTATTTTTTACTAAAGCGACTTGCGAAGTGCCTTCAACTGCATTATATGTCATGTTCTGCCAACTCGGTGTGTGTGTTAACCAGCGCAAATGTGTTCAGTGGCTATTCTGCAGTTCCTCCCCTCCTCTTGAATGTGTACAGTGCCTGACAAAAGTCTTGTCACTTAACCAAGTTGTAGGAACAACAAATAATAACTTGACCTGTAGTTAATCAGTTGGAATCAGAAATGGCTTATAAGAAAGGCAAAGCCCTCTAGATTATGCTTATTATACCAAAATAAAGTTTTTC